TCGTGCCCTGTTTCCCTGTGAACCTTGGTAATCCAAATAAAATTCTGAGCAAACTCAAAGTACCTCTTTGAGTCTTTTGTCCTGCCCTGTGCACCATCCCTAGAGGCTGTCTCCTCACAGGCCTACGTGATTTGCAGTCACCGACAGAATAGTTGCTGGGGGGAAGTGGTTGGCGGAGCTAGGGGCTTGCTGGGCTGCAGAGTTGCATCACGCCAATGCGGACTGTTCTGGCCAATGGCAGGACAAATTTGAGGAAGCTCCTCCCACTCAGCAGCCACTATGGATGCTGCCAGGTAGCAAAGCGCTTCCCACGCCTTCCCCTCTGGCGCACGCGCACAGAGACGCTCTTGCACCCTAAGACATTCATTTGTTCAGTGATTCATCTTTTCATTTATAGTGCGTCAAATCTTTTTTAGGGCCTAGTGTTAGCTGGGCGTAGGGGAGCCAGAGGAATCCATTTTTCTCTTTCACACAGAAGAAGAAGAAGAGAAGAAGAAGAAAAAGAAAAGCCTGAAGACATCAGTCCAGACATTACAATCCAACCCTGCAAGAATACTCTAGTCTTTGGGAGAGTATGAAGGGTCCCTGGGACTGGGACTACTGGGACTGGGGGAGGAGGCAGGAAAAGGTGGCTCAGGCTGAGCAGTTTGCATAGAGAAAGCAAAAACAAGAAAATTACTATGTAGCTATGTGGTGGTATAGGGAGATGGAGTTGGGCACCTAAAATATATACTTTATCTGGGAGACCTTGGGAAAGCTGAGCTGTTTAGATATAGTACCTTTATTTCAACAGATACCAGAAATATTTCTCACATTAGTTCTGGATTGTAATTACAACTTTTATACAAACATTCTGGTCGATCTTTGACAATTTTCCTCCCCAACTTTCCATCCAACACATTTTCCTGGAAGGCTGATTCAGGTGTGGTCCCATTTGCCTTTTAGAGAATGCCCTCTGCTGGCTGCAAGGAGAACAGATTGAAGGAGGGCGACAGGAAGAAAGCTGGCTATGTATCTCAGGTGAGAGTGGCATGATGGGGGCAGAAATAGGAGTTTTTAAAATAAACTTGTCTTAGGGGACCAGCAGGTGGCATGGTGGATGGGGCGCTGGACACTCCCACATGGTTGATCATGGTTCGAGTCCTGGTCCCAGACCTGGTGGCTTGCTTTCTCACTTTCTCTCTCTCTCTTTTTCTGTCTCTCTCTGATCAAATTAAAATGAATGAATAAATAAAAATTTAAAATAAATAATTATTAAAATAAACTTGTCTTGTTTATATTTTTGTTTTTGAAACAAGGGCTGGCTGTGTTGACCAAGCTGGCCTAGTACTCGCGATCCTCCTGCCTCAAGCTGTTACATCTCCTGCCAAATAAACTTTGTAATTCAGAACAGTTTTAGAGTTACAGGATTGCTGCAAAGATAATACAGAGAAAACTCATATACCCCAGAGCCAGTTTCCTTATTAACAGTTCACATTAGTGTGGTACAGTTGTCATAATTAGTGAATCTTTATCACTACATTTTTATTAACCAAAGTCCATACTTTAATCTTTACATTTTCTCTCATTTTCTTTTTCTTTTGAAAGTGGTTTGCAATTTTTATTCCTATTTAAAAAAATACATTTGAATAGAAACAAGACTAGAAGAAAGAAGCAGTGGTTATTTTTCAAAATAACGAAAGAGGTAGGACCAAGAGTAGATTTTTCTTTTTTTATACCATTCTATATTTTAAAATTTTCTACAATGAACATATATTACTTTTATAATCCAGAAAGGAAAAGCAATATTTTATTTAATAGAGAAAATCTGTTAATATTTTCACATTTTACAAAACATCTTTTGTTGACATTCTACAAATGATACCATCCAACAATGTCCTAATCTTTTCTTCTTGTGAAGACAGTTTATATATCTTTTTAACTTTTGTAATATTTGTTATTTCAGGAAGATCTTTCAGAGAAACCTGATGACCTTCCACTTGAGATATTAGGTATTCTGGATTTTTTTGTTTTTGTTTTTCTTCCTCTTCAACATAAACAATTAGAACTGAAGTGTCATTTGCTGAGATACCAAATTTCTTCACAGCCTCTGAGATGTTGCTATTTGGGGAAAGGTTGAAAATAATTTCTGTAGACAGAGTTCTTGTCTTCATTTTTCCCAGTTTGTAGAAGTGAACTGCTTTGTTTGCTGCCACAAGTATCTGAAATGGATCAACAATCACTGTAGATTCATCAATGAATCATCAATGGTGCATTCTTTAGCCTTTTTCCTCAAGTCTCCAGCATTTTTAACATCTTTTAATAACAGAAGGGTCACTTTGCATTCCATAAATAGGTCCAGCTGGTGTGTCAACTGCATTTTACAGATAAGCAGGGTTCTAAGGCTCCTTGCTGGTGCATCTCCAAAGCTCTCTCTCGTTTTCTTTTTGCTACAGGTTATGTGCTCACTGGAGAGAGAGAGAGAGAGAGAGAGAGAGAAAAGAATAAGTGAGAAATCACCTCCCAGGAAGGATGACCATATCACAATTCCTTATCCATCCTCCTCTCAGAATTTTGGGCACGTATGCACACACATGATCCTGACATTTTCCAAGCTGCTGGGTCTGACACTCAAATTATGCAATTGTTTATGTGTGATCCAGCTGCCTTAACCACTATGTCACCTGGCTGGCCCTATTCTTAGCTCTTTCTTTTTTTTTTTTTTACCCTTAT